TAAATTTTCATTTCATTTCTAAATATAACATGCTTACACATCTATGCAGCACATATATAATATTAGACAAGAAAATTACAAAAAAATTATTTTGCACAAGATATATTTTAGCGTGCAAACATTGAAGGACAATCTAATTTATAACAAATACAATATCTAATGCATATTATTTGTTATGCTGTACCTATGATTAGAGAAGTGGCAGCATAGTCTAAATAGAACCTCCATCACAGAGGCCAGCAGCTTACTGATTTTTCCACGAACATTTCTCATTAACCTGCATTTTAGTTTAAAGTTATTAGAGGCTGCTTATCTATTTTATTTTATTTATTTATTTATTTTTAAAATAATCACATTCATGCATAGTGTTATAAAAACAATAATAAATTTCAGCTTAATTATATAATTTTGCAATAATTTGTTGCAATTTATATTTTTAATTGTTTTTTGTTTTGCACGTTTGTTTTAAAATATTATAAAAATTGACAATATTTGTTTTAAATTTTAATTTACCTATGATAAAAATAAAAAACAGAAATATATTATTATACATACTCAGATATACGAAGTAAAGCACCACAATTTCGAGGACTAGGAGTTGTATCTAATGTCAATTTGATTCCTCTCTGTTTTTCAGGATCAGAAGTATTTGGAGGTATTTCCACTAATCTGATACTGTGTGGTTTCCGTGTGAATGGATAATTAGGTGTTCTATTAATTGGCTGCATCTGTCTCTTATAACAACTTCCACAATATAGTTTGGATCTCTCAACTAATGCATAACTTTCTCCATCTCCAATGAAAGCTCCACAAGAATTACAGGCAAAACATTCTGGGTGAAATTTGTGATCACCTGCCAACATGACAGGACCCGTAATGATTTGACCACAACCTTGACAAGCTTCTCCATAAGCAGCCCAATAATCATCTTTACAAAAAAGTAAACCATCTTTCTCAAAGTACCATGTGGACAGACCAATATCACATGCTGAGCACCTAAAAAATCACAATTTTATGAATAATTTATTTTTATGAATATTGTTTTGTTATTTTATTTTTATTATTATTATTATTTATATTTTTACCGAAAACAATCAATATGCCATTCTTGATTTAATGCCTGTATGAATTCATCTTCATCAATTGCATTGAGACATCCAGCACATGTTAATGTCCCACTACTTTCCCCACTTCCCAAATCTAGAAAATATTATATTAAAAATAAATTTAATTGAAAAACCACTTGTATGTGATTAGAAATTGAATTTTTTGCTTTTATAATTTCTCGTTAGAATCTCTTTTATGATGATTTCAAACATTCTGTCTGTCATATATTTACATTAAATATTTATACATGCGTATTTGCGTAATTTTCATATGAAAGTAATCCGATAATAGAAATTTTATTGAACATTAAATTTTATATATTTCGAATTTGTCGAAGTTACAAAAACAAATATAACGCAGTCATACGCAAAACAAAACGCGTCAGGGACATAGTAGGAAGGAAATGTGATTCACGGTTGACATTAGGTAAGCGTTAAGAAAGCAGTTTATCAACCAGCTGACAATAAATTGGCTAATTCTAAGATGATTAAAGCTTGTCAATGAAAGAATCACAACATTGAAATTATAAAATACATTTCGAAGCATTGTTTGCTCATTAATGCATGATCGGAAAAATATAGTTTAAATGAATGCGTAAATAAAGTTTCTTGAAGAGCGTGGGCCAAGAGACTTGGAAGACAGGACGCCCACGCGATCTACAAAGGATCAAGCGTACACAAAAAATCATCGATCAATTCATTTGTCATATATACAATTCGAAAAATTATACATACTATATTGTGAATTCGGTCAATCCGTTCAAAAATAATAATTTACATTGCCGAAAAAGACATACCGTTTGACGAAACTTCATCCATCACAGCATTTAGGTAGAACTGACACACTCCCACTCCGCACTTTGATCATTGAATATATAGTAAACAGATTCGTAATCCATTCTTAATACGATGGATATTGCGCAATGGCGGGAAATTTGATATTATAAAACTGAAAATTTTTATAATGTTAAATATAATACAATATATATAAATATATATAAATATGTATATAAATATCACAATATAAATTATTTTCAAATAAAATATAATATTAAATATGATAAAATAAGATATTCTTCTCATTCTAAAAATAAAATAATCTTTAAAAGTTATATTATTTTCAATAAAAAGATTTAAAAATTTTGTTTTAAATTTTTTAAAATTCATTGTTTTTTTTCTTAAATTTATTTAACAACAATTATTAATATTGAAATAACTTCTAATCAATAACTGATAAACATTTTCTAAGATTTAATTCTATTAAAATTTTGTAACATAAAAAATTTATTCTTTCAAAATGAAAAAACGAATAATTTGTAAAGAGATAATTATTTATTTTTTAAAATATTTGGTCTTTCAAATCAACATAGATACAATTTTTTAAATATATATGTTAAATTAATTTTTGATATATGAGAAATGCAAGTATATATGATAAAATGGTTGGAAATTGTAAGATTTCAAAAATAAATATAGAAAATTAATTATTTATAGATACATAATTTCTTTATGATATATAATATAAATATTTTTTCCAGAAAGTATCCAAGAGATCCATTTTAGACTAAAATATATATATATATCAATATAATATAAATAATATTATCGCATGCAAATGTTAAAAATATTGATTATATTATATCATAATAATTAAAAACTAATTTGTATACATATCTATCTCATATTCACCAGTACAGTTTAATCTTAAAAAATAAATTTTAAATGATAAAATTCATAATTTAAATCATTAACATTTTAAATATCCAAAATATAATTTAATTTGCTTATTACAAAAGTTATTTGTATATTGAATATTGAATACCATATTTATAATTTCACTTTGAAATAATTTAAACTTAATTAAAATAATCTTGAAAAATATATATATCTTTAAAAGTGATATGTAAAACAATTTTTTTAATTTAATTAGAATTTGTCACTATACTGATGGTCAATCGAAGGTCTTCAGGAAACTAGGAAATGTCACTGAGCTATTTCTAACATATATATCAATGTGACATATTGAATCAATTGCACGTTTTCCCGGCTGACCTTCTCGAGATATTTACAAAATCCGGATAATCTTCTTTGTCTAGCGACAACTTCCGGTTCTCTCAGGTCACATCAATTATTTGAGCATAAAGAGCCACAAATAACAAATGATTATTCTATAAGTAAAAACTATAGCAAGCTTACATGTCTGAGTAATTTTGATCACAGTAAAAATTGTGCAGAATTTTCTTCTGATCATTTCATTTATTCTTTTTTTATCACTGCTCAAAATAATTAGTAAATCATTTTTTTCATATCATTTAAGAAAAAGAATAATAAATGTATCATAAAATGAAGATTACAATTTATAAAATAAGATTGTCAAAAGCATTTGAAAGTCAATTTCATTTTTTAAGTTCTAAGTTATACAGTTGTACATATATAATTGATATTGGATTGATCATTAAACTCATGTTATACGATAATCATAGGAAAAACGATAATTGAACTTAATTGTTGAAATTTCCATATTGTTTTATAAGAAATTACGGAAATGTTTATCAATTTCTTGATTAATTTTTCAATTTAATGTATTTTGCAAATAAAATATTTTCATGCATAAGTGAGGAAATTTTGTTCAATTATTTTATATTTTTCATATTATTTTGAGCAGTTTGCATCGAATGAATCAAGTTCTTTCATGATTCTTGCATATTTGAGCTGCAACATTATCATGTTAATTTTAATTTAATTGTTAATTTTTAATTTATATATATAAACTACTTTAAAAATGTCTTAAAACAAATAAAGATTCGTTGAACGCACGAGTAAATTTAAAAATTTTAAATTTAAAAATTCAAAAACTATCAAAAAGGATAGAAAAATCGCAGATATTATGAAATTTATTGGTACGTTGTAAATTCATCAAGTTGATACTATAGCATTCATTATTTAGAAAGTATATATATATATATCTCAAATATAATAATATTTTATTTGAAATTTAATTCAAAAAGTTGTCATATTTATATTTAATATATTTTAATTACTTCCGTATCAACTTGATGAAAAATCTTAATCTAAGGAAAATCGTAGAAAATGCTACGCGATTTTATGCAATTGCATGCATAAATTTTTTTGCGCGACTACAATAACGACGATTGATATGCAAGAAATGCGAACCTTGTTTCGATGATACAGTTCCAGTGAAATCTTTCTTGTTTTATGTTCGATGAAACAATTGTTTAGTCAATTATAGCTATAATCTTTTTCTTCGTTATTATCTTTAGTTTAGCAGTAATCAACATAAATTTACCAAATAGTTCTTATTTCATATTTCATATCTGTAACTTCCTTTTTTCTTCTTAAAAAGATTAATCATTTAAATTATTATTTTTAGAATTGGAAACATGTTATAAAAATAATATTGAGCAGTAAAATTATAAACTATTTGCGAATATAAATTCGCAATTCTTTCGAAATCAATGATTTTTATTCAAATTTCACATCGATTCCTTCTTAAGAATTTTTTTATATAGCATATCTGTGTATATATATAAATATATATGTATATATGTATATATATATTTTTTCTGGGTTTCATTTCATATATTACGAAGCAAAAAACAAAAAACTTTTTATAACAATACATATTGACTTTTATATTGCAGGGACGACAGCTACTAACATTTGCATAACTATTTCTTACTTTCAAGCTGACCATCTTAAGCTGTTTATTCCATTTTTTGCTTTTAAAATTGAAAAAATGAAAAATTAACTAAACAGAAAAATAAAAAAAAGTTCTAATATTTTTCATATTTATGAAAACTTTAAAAAAAATTTTTAATTTTTTAAGACTAAAAAAATCCACTTTATTCGAGACCAAAGAAAAAAATAAAAAAATATCTGATATATTTTTATATTTGTTAAAAAAAATGTTAAAAAATATTTCTTGGATACTTCTTAGCTATGGAATTTTCGGAAACTAATTTTCTATCTATTATTTTAGACCGATCTTGCAGAAAAATTGATCGAAGCTATCAAAAAGGGAATAATAAATTTTTTGTCAAATAAAAGTTAGAAAAGAAAAATGACATTCCATGAAAAATAATGATCTGGAACAATATAAATTCATGAATGATCGGGAAAGAACATTTCGTTCTATTCCCAGACAGGTTGGATCAGCGTGAAAGAAAGGGGCGCGCAAGGAACGCTGTTGAAGCGCGTGCAATTATCCCACTCATTAGAACTCTGTTAACTGGCATCACTTCAAAGGCTGTCTGGTCCGTTCTTCTTGCGTTTCCGCAATAGCTAGTTCACGTTCAAGGGCATCAACGGCACGTATTTGTCGCTTGGTCGGAATTTGTACTGGGAGCACAATCGGTTCGATACCGATTCCGTATAACCATTTCTGTAACATATCAATCACATAATGATTACACACGATCGATCATTACGAAATTTTGCAAGCAACATCGAAATAAAGCGGAAAAATGGTTAAAGTAATATCAAAGACCCATGAACACCACCACCACAATTATCATCAACAACCGATTATCTGTGAGAATAAATTTATAATAAAATTACATTCAATCGAAGCTCATATGCAACCATGATGATAATTGTTTCTGTTTGAGGATGTCACGCATTGCCTGTAGTATCTTGTAGAAAAACATCTTGTAGGTATAATAATCTCGTGACGAATTAATATACTCGTATCGCGTTGAATTCATCCAAACCAGAAGACAACTGAAGAGAATTGATGATTTAATCATTAAAAATATATGTTTAATTGTTTCATTTATTCAATCATTTTGAAAAAAAAATTATTTTTACATGTACTTTTTACATGTATTTTTTAACAATATATTAAATATCTCAGAAAATAAGAAAAAATGAAAAAATGAAAAATAATGAAAAAATTCTTTTAATATAATTGATATATAACTGATATAATTGATATATTTAATATAAATTCTGATTTAATATAATTGATTATATTGATATTCATATATATTGATGAAATTTTTTAAAAAATTAAATCATTATAAAAATTCTTTTCTTAGTAAATATTTTATATAGGCAATACAATTTTTAATAATTTTTTATTTTGAAAAGGAGGGACTTAAAAATTCTAACTAAATAAATTTTATTTTCACAGAATTGTTTTTCAAAACTTACCTTTGCCACTGTGAACAGGGACGTCTCTCCTTAAAACAAGTTACTTGTATCACATTAAAAAAAAGAGCACCGAGAGTATTTGCGACTTCCGAATTAAGATTCTGCAAACATCTACGGAACTTCGCATCGCAGTCACAGTGAGACCGTGTGAAAGGCGAGTTATTGCATATACCATGAATGCATTCTTTAGGTGATATAGTGATAGGACAATGGTCGTGTTCTCTACAACATGCATCCTCGGCTGCATGGTGTCCGAGATCATCATACGATTTCGCTAAAGTACCTGGGCCACACCATTTTGTGCCTGGATAAATCAATCCACCTCCTGGAGGTTGATTCTGTAATAAAGAGAATTCTTTTTTTTATATTTTTAATTTAATTTTATATTTTTATTTTTATAATTTTTCAAGATTTACTTATACACAAGTAACAATGAAATATTATTATTAAAAATTCTATTTAATGTAATTATCTTTGTACGAAGTTATATTCTATACATTAAGCGAATCAAGCGTTCAATTAATTATAATCTTGTTTGATATCTACAATTTAACATCTGAAAAAATTGTTAGTACCTTTCCTTTGTTTCGAGAGGCTTTACACGTTTCTTCCAAATCTGCTACGAGATTGCTTGACATTTGACGGACTTTTTTTGGATCCGCACCAAGAACCATTTTTTGAATAACACCACGATCAGTGTACAAGGCACAGAAGGGCGCATCCGCATTTAATTCCACCATTCTTGACATAGTGGTATCTGCCACGAGAACACTAGCCTCAGTTTCATCCCCCCAGAGTGTTGGTATGAGTAGTAGAAATACTGTAAGCATCTATCAATCAAAATAATTTTTACAAAAAAATGAAATGAACATTTAAAGAATATTAAATCAGAGTCAATTTTAAATTTTTCATTATTTTTAACATTATATATTCTGCTAGAAGAATCTTGTATATAAATTATAAATATGTATATTATGATTTAATATATCATAGAAGTCGCATTGAAATTAAAATTTTTTTTTTTATTCAAATTCCGAATAATTTTGTAAAGATGCATTTGACAAAAATAAATACATTAAACGTATTCATTGTTATAAATAATGATATCGACATTCAATCAAAAAGAGAATCAAGTATTGTTAAATATTTAACTTTATTATTTCGTAAAACAATGAATATACAATTGATTTTTAATAAAAAAAAAAAATCCTTTGCCTATCAATCTGTTTCCCTATCTTCTAAAAACTTGAAATCAAACTCATACATAAACATTTCCAATAGGGATAGTAGGTCGACAATGCGCAAACATTTCCTAACTTTTCTGTAAATATATTGAAGTGTACATATACCAATATTATTATAGTCTAGTCATATTTTGTCCTCAGTTTCACTTAAACACATAATATTAACTCCCACGCAAAATCTGAATACTTTTTATACTTATAATATTTATTTTAAGGAAAAGTATTTTAATCAATAATAATCATTTTTTTAACTAGAGTCTAAATTAAATAATGTAAAAAATAAATATTTTTTAATATTAAAAAAATAGTAATTATTAAAATGTATAGTCTTCTATACAATATTTCTTATATATTATATATTATATATTTAATATTATATATTTATATATATTTTTTATATATAATTATATTCTTTTTTAATATTTTTTATCAGAGAAACAATTTCCATGAAATAATATTTTCATTTTCAGATTAAACTCTCAACACTCACGTTACTAATACTCACGTTACTGTTTCTTCAATTAGGATTAGAAGAATCTTTTATTATTGATGCGGATCTAATGAAAACTAGTTATAAATAGAATAATGTGACGTTTTCTTTCTTAATCTAACATTAATTATTGCTTGTTTAAGTAACCGATCAGATAAATCAACATACAGGAATTCCGGTCGTTTTAACGAGCAAGTTGGAGGGTATACCAATTAAATGTCATAAAATGATGCGTTCATTGCTGTATCTATCATATCCATGATGAGATTTTACTTGATTATTTCATTACCAGACATTCATAATCGTATCGTTTTTTCTTTTTTTTTTCCTTGACACATTGATCAATATTTGCATAATTTCAATTTATCCTTTTTTAAGCATTATTAAATTTCGCAATTACAATTGTTTTGTTGTATTTTAAATGTTGACGTTTTAAGATTAAAGTTCAATTTATCATTTTTATTAGAAGATGAATAATCTATTTCTGAAATGATAAGATAATAAGAAAGAAATTAGAATCAAGAATATTAATAAACATGATTATATTTGCATCTACAAACAATTATTCTTTTCTCGCAAAAATATTATCCATTAAATATATCAAGTTTTAATTTATAATAATTTTTACATTATATTGATATTACTTTATAACAAAAAAAAAAAGAATGTTAAAATTCTTTTACTATGTATTTTTTTTATTGTATATATTTTTTATATATTTCTCTAATTACTAATAATAATTCTATTTGCGCAAGTATATTAAGTGATTCACTCAATAAAATAATACTCATTGCAATGAGACAATACAAAAGCACTTACAGTTGATTATTCGAAATCAAAATATTGTTAAAAGAGCCACTATATATGACAATGAAGTCTTTCTAAATGAATCTCAAATTGGAACTCCATGTCACATCATAATTTATCACCATCACGGTAAAATAAAAAACTTTCACATTATAAAAAAATTTAAGCATAAAATATATAAAATTCTCAATTTCTCTATTAAAAAAAATGTTAATCTTCTCAAGAACTTATAAAAAAAAAGAAAAATCTTCTATAAGATTCGACATCTATGATTCAATCGCACCCGAAGCAATGGTTTCGAGGAACGTTGAACGACTAATAGTGTTTTACCTTTCTCGAGAATCACTTCAAAAGATCCTTCAAGGACAACAGTTCTCTTAAGGTCACAGAAAAATAAGGAACAAAAACCAAACCTTGACGATTCCTCACTGGCTGTCCTTCCCTCTGACGCATCGAAATCGCGAAAGAAATTAATTCGAAAAACGAAAATATATGTTGAAAGACAAGAATGATGAACGACCTTACAAATCCTTGTAAGAATCACTAAAAATTCGATATGAGATGATTTTAAATGGCTCTTAAGTAATCTTTAGATTGATCTTCAGATTGGCGTCAATGGAAATTACTGATTTTTGCACCAATCTTTTCTATATAATTTCTATATAATTGTATAAAGAAGAATATAAAATGATAAAAAAATCTTAAAATATAAATTATGTTGTTTGAATTTCAATTTTTATTGAAATTTATTTATAATCTATTATATCTAGATATGTAATTTCTCTATTTTTTTTTATTCTATTTCTATTAATTTATTTATAGTAATATTTATTTATAATAAAATTAAATTAGATTAAATTCCATTTGTTTTCATTTTATTTTTATGTTTATTATTTATTTTTTTTGTGTAATAATTTATTAATATTTATATAATAATTTATTATACAATAATTTATTAATATTATTATTATTTATTAATACAGCGATTCTGTAGTTTGATATGATAGGAAGCCTGCAACAAATTCAATTTGGTTTTTCTTAATAAAAAAAATCATACAATTGTTTTAATACACAAAATTAATAAAAGTGAAAAGATTGCAAGGAATATAAGACAACATATTATACATATATAATAAGATATAATAAATAAAACTAAATAAAAAAATTATAAATATAATAATAATCCTATCTAATATTATTATCGATAAAGATTAATACTATTCAACAGCACGACTTGTTTGACCGATAAATTTAATTTAATTAGATCGTCCCAGTTTAGAGAGGTGATAGATCCTGTGAATTTCACTAACCCTCGTCGTGAAATTGAACCAAATATCGAAAATCTGGGTCAGTCAACCTCATTAACGAACTTGTCTCTTGAACTTGTGCCAATTTAAACCAAATAATCCTGTAACCAACTGATAAATCTATATAATTCAATTACACTAACCATTTTTACCCATATAAAAATCATCAATTGTAAATCATTATATCTTGTTTAATCAAATATTGCTAAGTTTTCACCAAAAAGAATATATGAATATATTTATTTATTGATTCAATTATTAATTTTTTTTTTGCTAATAAAAAATCTTTAATAATAATTGAAAAAAATCATTATCAGAAATTATTTATTATGGAAAAATATATTAAAAAAAATTATTATATAAAAAAAAAAGCTTTAATATAATTATCATATAATAAATATAAAATCATAATAAATCATAATTGTTAGATTATTTAAGAATAATAATTAATACAAACATCAATCTCTATAAAATTATCTTTTAACGATAATTCCTATTATCTTTTTTCAAAAAGAAAATATGTAAATAATTCTTCATAAGAATATAAGAATCAAAAAATTTATAATTCAATGTAATTTTTAATTTTTTAATTTTCCTTTTATTTGTTCCATCCAACATTCAATATTAAAGAAAGTTTATTATAAAGAAAAAAAAAAGAGAAAAAAAGCAAGCAATGATTATTGCAATAAAATTATAATATGTCAGCGAATCATAAAAGAAATTAACTATAATGTAAAATAAAAACACAAGAATATAAAGCACAGCAAAATATCATAACGAGTCGCCAACGAATTAGCAAATTAACGATCAGTCAAGATGTCAAGAACAATTCACAAGAAATCGCTACTCATTGCAATATACGCATTACACGCGCCGCTTAATCGATCAATTACCCTGTGGAAAAGTCGTACACGTGCAGTGGTGAGCATGTTTATTACGATATCACGATCACAAAGAATGAAACATTCAATCTTAACCAGACAAATAATAAAACTGTTTCAGATGAATACGTTGTTGCAAAGTAGATTGATTTAAACATGAATTTAATGAAACTGTTTGGAAAATCAAAGAAATCGAGATATGTTCGAGTCGAAGGAATAACGCGAAACTCACTAAAAGAACAAGTGCGCAACTAGCTGCCAACTAACCCCCACTACCAGCTACGCAACCCCAGAAACCGCAACGCGACTCGAGCTGCTGCAGTGCGCAACAACCCCTCAACTGATCGACACCGATCTTGTGAAATTTATTTTCAAGGTAATAAAAACGCAAATAGAAATGATTTTAATATTTTGAAATTACTAATTTTACCAATTGAAAGATTATTATTAAAAAATATATTAGAAATTTTAAAATTCTTCAAGTTTAAGCTTTAATGATTTAAACATTCAAATTTATTATTTTCGATATATATCTCTATTATTAGTTAAATGTTCATAATTTCAGAATATATATCGTAATTATCATTACAATGTAATAGATACATTTTTAACATATCTTAATGGGTGTGTAATTTCACCAATATTACCAATTTCAAAGGAGAATCTCGTACTGAGTTTCCTTTCATTCAATTTATATGAAATTCAATACTTGTGTATAATTTCGCTTCCTAGACCATTATAAAAAATTCCATTTGCGTAGTAGATTCGCGCTATTCGAAAAGCGCGAATTTTTCAAGAATATAATATCGTTTAGCAATTCTTCGCACGTATGTTAAAGAAAATATATTTTGAATATTGAATATACCTTTGAATATACCTTTAAGATGTATTCTCAAACTATATGTTTTATTATTTTAAATTAAACAATTTTTATTAAAATTTTTATAAAACTATATAATTTTTAATTAATTAAAATATCATATCATATTTTTCATTGAATAATAATTATTATCAGAGCAATTATTATCGATCTGATCTTTCAAATAATTAAAGATATAAGATATAATAAATAAAGATATAGAATTAGAATTAAAAAAATAAAAGAAAAAGACAAAAATGTAATGAATTAATATACATACATTGAAGTTTTATAACTCTCGTGGACGATGATCAATAATTTTTCCTGTCTTCACAGGATTATGATCTTTCAACAAAGAATTTCTGTGATTCCACAGAAACGTGAATCTCAAAATAGGGTGGTTGTGTAAGATGTTTTTCTAAAAAAATTCGCTTTATCTCTTCTCAACGGCCGCTATCAAACTGATCGTTGAAACGGGTCGTCAGGATACTAATATTATGTGGCATACATATATGAACCGTGATCCAGATTACACGGGGGAGATTCCAAATCACGTGATATGCCACATGCTTGCAACCGTACAATATATAACTTCAGTTGTAAATAGATCGAATTAATTTGTCGACAGCACAGGACATGCTGGCGATGTTTTTCCTTCCAGAGATTTTGCAATCATTTCACACTTTAATATCCCTCAATACAAGCCAATTAAAGACAGAAGGAAGAAGTGTATTTTCTTATTATTAAATATCGATGACAGAACTAGCCACTGCTGCGAATTGAAAGCATAGTTGAAAATGATTAGAAACTTATTATAAATTTATATAAAATAATTTTTGATTTCTATATATATAATTTGTTTTTTTAAGGAAATAATATTTTGTAAAAAATAAATCAAAATTTATTTTTAAGATAATTAAAATAATTTTTTAAGATATTTATTTTATTAATTTATTTTATTTTATAATCATATCAAAAAATTAAGAATTATTTTGTTTATATATATATATATATATATATATATATCTATTCTCGTGTTATTTTTTAATCATAGTATACAATTTCATACTTATCTCATTCTCATTAAAATTATATTAAATAGAATCAAAGGAGAAAATAGTATTATTTATAACAATTATATTTATTCTCTCCAAGAAAATGAGTATTGAAAAAACTGAGAAAAATTCTTAGGATCAAAATATATTAAATAAACTTTTTAAAATCAAGAATCTAGGGGATCCATTCAACTTCATTTGTTTCCTCATAATGCCTCATTAAGTTTTTTTCAGTGTTTTCTTCTGGTTTACTCGTGATTTTCTCTTCACTTCCGGTTAATTTATGATAAACCTTACTTCCCATGTTAGCTACCCATTCGACTCCATCGCCTACTTTTTCTCCAGCTTTGCGAACTAAATTGCCAATATTTTGACTTGTGAAAGTCGATGGATCCACCGTAATATCCAATGAATTATTACCATGTAAACATTTGATTTGACTAATAATGCTCAAATCAAAGGGATTCACACCAAAATCAGATAATTTTTGTCGTAAATTGTCTATAGAAGTCTTATCCAATTCCCGATTTCTGGAAAGGATTGTTGCACTCTGACGATGAGCAAATGTTAGCTTCTGACATGTAAAAATACCCGCGTAATTGTCGTAATCCGTGGCGAACACTACATGCGACGCACTTCCAGCTACACCTTTAAATACGATAAATTGATAGTTAGAATAAATTCAAAAATTCGTTGGAGATTCTTTGAAATATTTAATGAAATACAATTTAATTTCATTGAAATTCCTATATTTCTATATTTTCTACCTTGTTTTAATTATTATGTCTTTCTTTCATAGAACTGTTTACAAATATATTTAACAAAAAGTGTTTTTTCATTTTTTTTCAAAATCATTTTTATAAAAGAAATAAAGGAATTTTCGAATTTGAAAAAATTTTAATTAATTTAAAAAATTCTTAATTTTTATATGAAAGTATTTTATATGTATAAAAGTGTATTTAAAGAAAAAGAATATTTAAAAAATTTTAAAAAGTTTTAAAAAGTAAAGAGAATTTATATTCATATTCGTTTATTTAAACGATTATTTAATTATAAAATTTTAAGAATAAATAAAAGAATTTATCTATTAAAAAATTTTTGTATATACTTCACTCTATATACACAAAAATTTATATATACAATGCTTTTTTATGTTTTTTCTTCGTATTTATTTCTTACATACTACATATTCCTTTGTTTTTTAAAGTTTCTATATTTCATTATTTTATACTTCCCTAATATCACATACCATTTATATTTTCAACTTTGATAATAAATAAAAATTTTTACTAAATTCTCTAAAAATTTTAAAAAATTATTAACATCCTATATCGAATTATCGAAATATTTTTCAAAATAATCTTCTAAACTTTTTTTTAAAATATCAATTTCCTCTTGAACAATTGAAAAATATGAGTAATTTATTTTACAAACACAGTTTACTTACTAAGAGGAAAACGAACTTTCATTAGAGCCGGCGTACTCGGATTCGGTACGGTCAATTCACCGGTGTAATGGTACTCATGCTTCAATGACGTAAGACCTGTGTAGAAACATCGCTTCATTACGGATAATTCATCCTATTTGTCAGACAGTTATTCTATTGACATGCTTTTATGAGTCTCGATGGGATCCGACGTTCTTTATTAATTCAAAAGCTTTCAACAATACATATGTGTATTACTAGTACGATCTCGTTTATAAAATTTTCTTTTTCGCAGTATCCTCTTTGTTTAATGTTAAAATCCACAAAAAAAGAATATCGGATTTTAATCTCAATTCTTTAAATTTTAAATTGAAGACTATTTTAAAGTATTTTTATTTATATATAATTTTTAAAATTTTAAAAATCTATTATTTTCCTTAATTTTTAAAAAAAAAAAATTTTTTTTAATTTTAAATTTTTTTATCTTACTTAATACTGGATGATCGGAATCCTGTTTTAGAATGTATTCACCCGGTTCCTCTCCACGAGTATAATTATAAGTAATACATTTGCTAGCAGTGGAAGTTTTCTGAATTACGTACCATATACCTAAAAACTAAAATTTCTAATTTATCATAAATGAACAGAAAAATAATTTAATATAAAAATATTTTTATTTATATACAATATATACAATAGAATTATAAACTTACTTTGTTTATTTGAAATCCCTGCATCGGTTCTACAATAGGACAAGGCCCCACGTGATATGTGTGTGTTTTGACGAGAACAAAACATCCTAGTAAGAATGCTAGAGATAATATCTTCATCTATAAAAAAGTTTATATTATTTGAAAAAAATAATATCAATCTCATCAATAATATCATTTTTTATATGTTAAAAAAATTTCAGAATCAATGATTTCCTGATAACGATTGTAATTTTATCATTATTTAAAAATACATCGAATACATAAAGATATTGTCTTATTTTAATCAAATAAATCTCTAATAAAATAAATAATTAAAAGTTATATTAATTATAATATGTTTAAAATATTTAATTATATACAATTTATGAATAATACAATAATGAATAATGTTCTTGAACTCAAATAAAAAGTAAATTGTAAATTGTTCATTGTACTTTCAATTTAATTTTTTTTAAAGTTTAAATTTTCTATAATAATAATATATCAAAAAAGAAAATTACACATAGTATAAAGTCAACTTCGACCTCACTCTCTGTAGAGATTTAAAAAATTATTTTTTTTTTTATTATCTATAGATAATATATGATATACATATGTATATTATTAACATTAATTATATATATTTATAACATTAATCATAATAAAATACAAGATGGAGAACTATAATCCGTGTGAAATATTGGATCGAAATTTCATTAATATTGTTTTCATTTGAAATCTATTTTTAATTATTATCATTTATATATCAAAAAAATATTATAAAATATATAAATTAAATTAATAATTTCTTATGTAAATATTTCTTTCTAACTACAAAATTTTTTAAAAATTATTTAATGGAAATATAAATTTATATATCATTAAAATTAATTAATTAATATCGCGACAAAATTATTTTATGATATATGAAAATTCTATTTAAATATTATCTAACAAAAATTTTCGGATACTATTTTATAAGAAAATTCATTTTATTCAAAAATTTTAATTTTAATATCAGTTTGTGTATACTCCGTATATAATTAATAACTATATTATTTAATTAATAACTATATTATATTATACTCCATGTATAATATCCATGTATAAATATCATTAAGCTTTATATATATACAATTTTCATTAAAGTCAAAATTTTTGGGTTAGGTGAATTTCCTTTCAAGATACGAAAACTTTTAAGTTTTATTATTTGTATTAAAGTCATTAACCTTTTCTAGAATATATTTAAATTGTAGATACAAATGCAAATATAAATAGAATCATAATATATTCTATATAATGTTATAATATATAATTGTGAAATAATATTACTATGCAATACACTTGATATCTTAAATTCATCACTGAAATACTCACCATGAGATGATGTTGTCAGACTCTGAACTAGTACTGTAAACAGTAGCACAGTGGAGAAGAATTTTATGAGACATACTCCCCTCTCAATCCAATTATGGGTCATATATACTTCGAATATAACTGATCATAACATGATCAAATACGTTATTTCTAAAGAATTCGTAGAAATAAATTATATAAATAACTTTTTATATTATACTCTACAATATCAAATTATTTACAGAAATAGTAAAAAATAATACATTTTTTTATATTTTATAACTTCTTATTTTGAAATCGCATTATATTATATTTAAAGAAAATAAAATATATATGCAAAGAAATAAAAACAATAAAATTTTTTATAGATATTTTTATTAGAATATAAAAAATTGTAAATATAAGATATCTTATGATATAAAATTTATAATTAATTTGGTAATAATTCATTGTTATATAGTTTTTAATATATAAAAAAAGAATGAAATGAAAATATCTAGATTATACATGTGTTTTTTTAGAAAAAACGATTTATAAAAAAAAGCTGAAGATACGAATGTAATTTTATTATATTTGCTTACGATGAGTCATTTTCGTCCGACGAATCAAGTCATTCTAGGAATGATATATATGATTTCATTCTTTTGTTTTTCTGTAGTTTAATTTGTAATTTAATTTACATATTATGTATTAAAAGAAAAGTCACACTATGAAAAAATATCAATATAAATACAGAAACTTTAAAAATATAAAAATGATAAATTATGGTGAAGATACCGAGATTTCTCCTGCATCAAAGAACATATAAATAAACTATCGTCGTTTATTTTTATTATAAAAATACAAAAGATATATTTTTAATAAGCATGTGAATTTCTCAGTAATATTTACAGAAAACAATAGCATATATCTTCAGCTGAATTCCTAATAATACTAAATGTACTATCTATCTTAAAATTAAAACATTTAGAATATTTATTTCAAATAGTAAAAACATCATTTTCTTTCATTTTAATTCAATATATGATAGAATGATATCTAAGAGCATTTATAATACCACAATATTTTTTTTAAAATGAATAAGTAATAAGCGCAAAAAGAATCTGAAGTTAAACGAATAGATGAATTATTCAAATATTCAAATTGCTACAAAACATTTTTTGTTCAAATATAGTACAAAAATTATTTTTCTCTTCGAAATTTTTATAGAAAAACTATCTTTGCTGATTAAACATAATATTCTTTTGAATATAATTTTCATTATACATGATGAACAAAGTCATTGAAAAAAAAAACATTAAATGTGTGCTTTTATATGTATGAATAACTTAATATTTCAATACCCTGAGATATAATTTATGTAGTCATAATATCTGTGTACCATACACTTATCCATTCGTTTTGCTTTTCTACATTATTCCGGCGGCAATTTAGAAATATCCAAGTCATTAAAATAAGGATGTTTTAAAGCAGCTCGTGCTGATATTCTATGCACAGGATCATAAATAAGCATCATTTGCAAAAGATCAAGTCCATCATTATCTAATGTTTTAACTTGTGATTCTAAGTTATTAGTTATCCAATTTGGAAATGTGGCTTTATAATCTGATAACTGTGTTACACCAGGCCATATTTCTTCTGTAGGAGTTCTTAATATCCTATAAAATATTATTAATTCAAGTTCTTATATTACAATCGAATATATAATATTGACTTTAAAATCAATTTACCGAAATATTCTAAATAATTGATCAATTTCACTATCTCCTTGGAATAATGGTTTTTTGGTTGCCATTTCAGCAAATATACAACCTATACTCCAGATATCAATGGCACATGAATATCTATTGGCACCAAGAAGAATTTCTGGAGCTCTATACCATAAAGTGACTACTTCATGTGTATATACTCTAACTGGTATTCCAAATGCTCTTCCAAGTCCAAAATCTGCTACCTTGATCAATCCTGATTTGTCAATTAATAAATTTTGTGGTTTCAGATCACGATGAAATATTCTACGTTTATGACAGAATAAAATAGCACGTGTAATCTAAAAAAAGGATTACATATATTTTAACTTTTATAAAATATTTTATAATATTTATTAATTCATATTAAAGTAATTTTAATTTGTATATAATTATATGTATAAATATTATATAATAATATATTATTGTAACAAAATTATTTTATTTTGTATTATATATTAAAACTAATTTCAAACCTGATATAAATAAGATTTAACCATTTTTGGCTCCATTAATTTTCCAGTACCTAAATTATCCATATATTTTTTTAAATCCATAGTAAGATATTCAAAAATAAGATATAATCTAGTCTCTTCCATTAAGACATCCATTAATCTAACAATATTGGGATGTGGCAATTCTTTAAGTAAAGAAATTTCACGAATTGCTGTTGATGGTATTCCTTCATCATCACTTTCCAAACGAATTTTTTTCATAGCTACAATCTCTCCAGTTTTTTTATGCTTTCCCTTGTACACTACTCCATAAGTACCTGTGAAATTTTTTTTGATGCTATAAATTTTTTGTGATGTGTTAAATTTTTTTTAATATCAAAATAAATAATTTTCTTTAATATCAAAAATAATAATTTTTATTCTATAAATGAAATGTATATGTGTACTTATGAATAGTTTTTTTATTCTAAACAGACTGCTTAATAATTATAATTTTTGAAATAATCATCTTTTAATAACCTTAATTAAAAATAGAATTTAATTAAGAGATTAAAATTTGTTCAAAATTTATTATAAATTAATAGATTAAATTTTGATACAAATTTATTAAAAATATTTTTAGATTATAAATAAAATGAATCTTGAAAAATATGATAAAAAAATACTAATTAGACAAGAATAATCTGCAAGGTATTATAACATTCACCTTCGCCGATTTTTTCAATCTTCACAAAATTCTCCATACTGAAAGAACGCTTAAAATCCTAATCTGTATATATTTTTCTAAATTCTAATATCTAATATAATTCAAATATAATAAAATTTCACATATATTTCACAAATTTTTCCAGTATACCGTCACGTAACGATTAAATTCAAATGTCGGTACGCCATATTGATAAACATGTTTGAATGTTCAGTGTTCGGTTTGTTCCGTAACAAGTCGGCCTTGTCATAGCCAATCCGAACGAACATCGTAATATTTAGGTTATTTCGTAAAAATATTCCGCTTTTACGGAAAGACAGGTGTTATTTCTAAACCGCGCTTTTATGATATATTTTAATATATGGTTATAAACCATAATTGCTATTATAAAACAAATTAATTATATTTTTAATCAAAAAAATAACCCTATTTTAATTAAAATTATTAATTATAATTAATATATTATTATATTATGTATAATGTTATTGTATTATTATATTATGTATAATATAGATAAATTAATATAAATATAATAGTCAAATATTAAGTACAAGTTTTCAATAAATCTGAAATATATTGATTAATATGAATAAATTTATATTCTAAAGTTTGACTTTATATTAAAAAAAGAAAGGAATTTAAAAAAAAATTTCAAAAATCATTTGACATTTATTAAAAAAAGAGAGAGAAAAAAACATCATTCGTGTCAATGTATCTCTTATTTGTACATACAGTATATAGGTACAATGAAATTATCATATAAATTGATGTTACAAGCACATTCGTAACAAACAAAGATTTCTTGTCTTTTTATTTTTTTTCTCAAACAAAAATTAATCAAGAATATTTATCGTCAAATCGAAAACACAGAGTTCTTCTTCCAGATTCTTAATAAATTTATTTTTTTAAATGTTTACAATATAATTATATAACTATAACAAGATTATTCAAATCTTTGTTTGATAAGCTTTGTAATTACTCTATAATTCCTATATATAACGACTTTGAAATAAAAACTCTGTTTTGTAATCGACCTGACGAGATTGTAAAATCAAAAATCGAGTTGCACCTGTGTTAGACTTGTTATTAATCATAACTCAATGTCGTTCAAAAGTTTCAACACATTTTATCGAGGAAATTGATAGCCACCAGTAGCATAACCAAGTCCGACACCTCGTTGTGTGTGTGTAGTAGCACGTGCTACCTCATACTGTTGTTCCATGTTATTGAACATTTCTTCTTGTTTTTTTAATATATCTGGTTTGGTACCCGCTGTCGGAGCAATCGGTAAATCGTCTTTGATGCCCATTAACCGCTTAAACTTTGCCGTTACTTTTCCATCCTGATCATGAGTGAATGTTGTTCCTACCCAAGTGTTTGCAGTAGAAGCTGCTGTAGATGTTTTACCTTCATCTTGTTTTGACTGTAAAATAAAAAAATATATATATATGTAAATTTGAAATAATTAAAAAAATAATTAAAAAAAAATATATTTTAGTATAAAATTAATATGAATTAATAATTAATTACCTTATTCGCCCATAATAGTTTTCTCTTCTGTATCTGTTCCGCATATTTTCCTTGCGTCGCTGTAGCTAAAGGATTATAATAATTCTGTTCATTTTGAATGCCTGGTGTAGTAGTGTCTCCTTCTGGTGCTTTAAGTTCAATTCCTAACTTCTCTAATTGAGCTAACTTATTTCTACCTTTTTCTTCTCTATAACTCATTGTTCGAAAAGGAGGTGGAGCTCGGTCTCTCGATCTAGATCTTGATCTTGCACGATCTTTTTCTTTATGATAACTGGATCGATCGTCTCGATATCGATCTTTTGATCTATCATCTCTAGAATGTCGGCGATCTCGATCTCTATCCCTATCTCTGCGTCTATCTCTGTCACTTCTGTCACGATTTCGATCTCTTCGATCATCACGATAGTGATGATCTTTGTCGCTCTTTTCTCTATCATCACTCTTCTCATCTCTACTTGATCCTAACGAACTCTTTTCTTTTTTTTTATCATCGTCACGGGATTTTCTGTCATCATCCCGATTCCTTTTTATATCTCTGTCTCTATGACTGTTTTCTCGTTGTCTTCTATCATCGTATGATGGTCGTCGTCCCTTATCACTCATATGTCTATTACGGTCGGATCTATCTCCTCGTTTGTGCTCGTCTTTTGAATTTGCTGTGTGATTTTCATGATCAGATCGCCTGTAAAACGATTACGTTCTGCAGGATATACCACACAGATTCGTATTATTATTTTGCATGTAAGGGAAACATTATGTGGTAAGTATGTTGCAAGTTTGTTTGTTTGTTTTTTTCTCTTATAAAATTCAAAGAAATATATTAATTTAAATTGAGAGGAGAATAAGCTTACAAACAAACCAGCTTACCTCTGGTCTGAGGGAGAAGGTAATGATCGAGATGAGTCTGTTTTTGATTGTGCTGCTGGACTCTGTGCTCTTTCACTACTGGATTCTCTAGATGAATTGTTGTTGTTGCTTTCCTAAAGAAATAAAAATTATTCACATTAATATGCATTTTATATATTTTATTAAATAAAACATAAATTTCAATTTACATTACAAGAACTATATCTTAAACCAAACGTTTTTTTTAATACCCTCACAATTTAACAAAAATCAATCTTTTACTAATTTAACTTTATGAGTTTAATAGTTTCTAACAAATATATTTATTTTAAAATTATAAAATTTATAAAAAAATTTATAAAAAAACGAATTTCTATATGTATATGTAAAGATTGAATTTTGCAATATTTGTAATTACCAGATAAAAATTACTACATCCTAATATTTTTGATTTAAATCATAGTATTTAAAAATAATAGAGAATATTCTTAAAACTATTGTAATTTTTACAAAAAATAAATTTTCTCACATCCTTGGTTGTACTTGATACAAAAATTTTATAACATAAAAATTTATATTGTAAATGTACATTATAAATTTCATTGTACACTTTTTCCAGTTAGATTTTGGAGAATAGAATAAAAGAGAAACAGGAATATGAGGGCCCTTCACATTTATCTGTTTTAGCAGTTAGTTATATTACCCGAATATGTTTGTACATGTGGTTTCTTTGATGGTTGATTTTTTATTAGTGTTACCTTCTTCCAGCTTCCTCTACTCACCTTTGTCTTCTCAATAGGACTTGGGGTAGTCTTGAAAGACCCTCACACAGCATAGACCTTGCCGAGGTGCGTAGATATTGTATCATGTATTACCAACAGAGCTACGTGTTAATATTTTCTCACGAAATGGCACTATTCCCATTTACTTATTATTTAAATTTTAAATATCTCAATTTTTACTCTCATTGTTTCTGCCACATGATAAGGCTTTAAGGTCATGTCTTAAACTCAAAAAATTTTATTTCATAAATTATATTTTAATAATATTATTATAATGTATTAAAAGATAATACAAAAATAATAAAGGATAAGACATATATATAAATATAAATATTTATAATATATATAATGAAAACAATATAATGATAATATTATATTGTTATTAATGTTCAAAATAAAGATAAAAAAAGAATTGTTAATGATATTGCATTATTAAAATTTTTACAAATAAAAAATAATAAAAATTGTCTCAATTCATATTAAACCTTTATAAAACAATCTTTTTTTATCAATTTCAATGTAAAAAAGTTTTATTTTATTAATTGTTTTTGAATATTTAATACAAAATAAATGCTACAATATTATTATGAAATTGCATTCTATTTATATAGTTTCGTATAGTTTTGACATGACCTCTGAAAACCAAGCTTTTTTTCTGTCATGAACCTATATGTATGTATAGCCCTCATAAAGATACCACATTTTCCTATTATTCGTTGTAATATTCTGTACTTAATATTACAAAAAAGCATTTACAAACATTCAATTTTACTATACCTCACTCATGTCCATTTGTACTGGATCGTAGTTTGCGTCACTGGCTCTTTTATTGGTATCACCATGCATCCCATATGATATCTTAGAAACACAATATTGGTGATAAACCACTAAATAATTTAAAAATCATAATATATATTATCAATATTATTATTATTATTATTATTATTATTATTATTATTATTATTGATATTATTGATATTATA